ACAGCCCTGCTTCTTTGCTAACAGGCTTCAGTGGAGGAAATGGGCTGCTTCTTGGGATGGGGCTGGTCGGGGTGGGTGGGTGGGTACAGCTAGGATTCCAAGTCACTCTGCAAGATTGGTCCAAAATTCCCAGGGACTGGGGAGTTGGAGAAGGGATTCAGAGACAGGAACCATGATCATGCTGATCTAGTAGACTTTCTGGTCAGTTTCACCAGCTCTGGCGTCAAGGTGGCAATCTTGGGCCAACCTCTGCTGCCCTCTCAGCCCACAAGCTGGGAGCTGGATGGGAAGTGGAACAGCCAGGATACATGGGATCCCGGTGCTTAAAGGGGAGGATCAGCTAATTGAGCCATTGCACTGGACCCTGTGCAATCTCTTCAAGAGCATCAGGAAAGGGGATGCAATATTTTCAATATCCCTGGAAACAAACTATTTCAATTTAGGAACTCCAATCATCTAATGGATGTAGACTTTGCAGTACAGAGAAAATGTTACTGTCCTGGAGCACACTAAATTGTTTGGAGCAACATAAGACATAAGTCAACGCACAGATGAAAGTCCGCAGTGCATTCTTTGCTCTCTTCTCTGACAACAATAACGTGCTAGGTTTGCTGTTCACTGACCCCGGGAAAGTGGCAGGGCTGAATATTGTTTCCTTTTGCTCTACATTTGACCTGTGGGCAACAGCTCCCAAGCCTGGCAGATCTGCTGGGTTATGTAGGCAACTGGTTTGAAAACTATAATCATTGGCTTCTACTCCAGACAATGGGGCACAGATGTCTGTATTTTAAACAAGCTCCGGAGTGACTCCCAGGGAATCCAAGAATCTACACATCTAGAGGTTCCTGGAAGGGATGGTTGATTCAAAGGGCTGCCCTGGGATGCTTGAGACGCTTCTGTGGGATATGAGAGGGGAAAATAACATTCCTAGCTGTTCCTGCGGGGCAGTTCCCATGCAGATATCCTTGATGCTGGACTTGACCTGAGAAAGGACAGATAGCCCAACTAACTCTCACTGAACATTCCCCATGCTTTCACACTGCACTGGGTGTAGGAGTTCTTGACATACTCACTCACAGTCATAACGTACATCCCTCAGGCCGAGCACTGTGCTGGGTGCTGTGCTGGTGTTTCCAAGACAAACACGGACACACCGATCCTTAAGGAGCCCGCAGAGAATCGCCAGGCAGAGAAACGTGCTGCTGGGGAGCGTGCTTTGGGACACTCCGGTGGCGACTCTCAGAGTTGAGGGAGTGGAGGCGGGTATCTAGCTAAGTTTTTAAAAAACAGGTGGCACTTGAACAAAGTCTTCAGTAATTTTGATGCTGATATTTACTGCTACAAATGATCGAGTAGGGCCAGAGCAGAGACATTCAGGAAAGGATAAAAGAGGTGGGGTTCAGGCGGAATGGAACCATGGATGAGAAGGGACAGGGGGTTTGGCTCATCCCCAGGTACAGGAAGTGTAAATGCAGGCAATGCCAGGACACACCTGTGAACTGAGAGTCAAGTATGGCGGTCGCATAGAGAATGCGCAATGAACGCCATGGGGTTGGAGATGGGAGCTTGCTGACCAAGAGGAAGCCATGCAGGGCACGGTGGAGATGAAGGGATGACAGGACCCAAATGATTGGCTGTTCAGGTACAGGAGAGAGAGGTCAAAGTCAAGGGTCACTTTTTAATTTTTTTAATGATTTCATTTATTATTATAAAGGCAGAGTCACAGAGAGGAGAGGCAGAGTGAAAGACCTTCTGTCTGCTGGTTTACTACCCATGTGGCCTCAATGGCCAGAGCCGAGCTGATCCAAAGCTAGGAGCCAAGAGCCTCTTCCAGGTCTCCCACGTGGGTGCAGGGTCTCAAGACTTTGGGCCGTCCTTGACTGCTTTCCCAGGCCACAGGCAGGGAACTGGATGGGAAGAGGAGCAGCCTGGGACACGGATTGATGCCCATACAGGATCCTGGCTCATGCAAGATGAGGTTTTAGCTATTAGGCTATTGTACCTGGCCTGCACTGTTTGCTTTAACATAGCCCTTCATTTTGTCTTCATAGAAATCTTGCATCGTGCTTCATAGTTTAGACAGGAGACTCTGTGAGATCAAATGAAGGCAGGCCAGGGTGGAGTCCAAATGTTCCCACTGGTTGGCTTGGAGCTCTACATTCAAATCAGCTTTAATTCTGAGGCCTGGGCCTCTCGTGCCCCAGGCAAATGTAAAACTCAGTAAGAAGGAAGAGGAGGAATGTGACTGAGTAGGCTGCATTCTCAACAGCAGCAGCTCTGGCTAAGATCTGAAGAGTGGAATCCCAGCCCTTGCACTGCTGGCCGCAGTTAGCGTGGTGGGATATGGCCTCCTTTTGGACAAGAAAGCCAATGGTCTTCTCCTATGCAGCCGAACTGCCTTCACTCACCTTGGGAGATGACTGTGAGACATCGCTCATAAATGTCTTCATAACCTTTCTACAAAAGTATGTCTCAATGTCTATGAAGCTGGATTCAAAAGAATTCAGTTGTGTGTCTGGGTGGGGAGAAGAATATGAGCTGGCCTTTGGGATGCCGGACGGTGTGGTGAAGAGCTGTCAATCTCTCAGTCTCCTGTGGCTATGTGCACTGCGTTGCTTCAGCTGTCCTGGCGAGCAGTGAATTTCTGCGACATTCTTTCCTGTGGTTTTTCCAGCCGCTTGCAGGTCCGTGCTTTGCTTTTGGCTTCAGTTAATCTGCAGGGCCTCCTTTCTCCCCGATTTTAAGAGCAGAGATGTTTGAGACAGGAACCCCACCCTTCCATAGCAAGTCACATAAAATGCCTAGACCCCTCCCTACCCCCATGGGCAGCTGGCCCGTTCATGCAAGAGAACAATAAGGAGATGGTTTCTGTGCTTTTGGTTCCTTGGCAATGTGAGAGGAGGAGGAGGCTGAAGCCAGACACAGAGGCTCCACGCACATGCCCAAGCCTTTCTCAAAGTCTCACCCTGTTGAGCAACAAGAAGGCATCTGTCTCCATCTGTCTGCATCCTAACACCACCAGTGATGACGTCATAACTGGACGGGCTAGTTCTTTTTCATTGAAACCCTGGCTGCCCGGGTGTGTCTACGTGTTTGCAAGCTATACCCAGGGAGAACCTAAAGCCAAGTGAGGTGGAAATGAAACCACGGTTCTCTTGGCAACAAAAATCAGACACCATGTTAGAGTAAAAGTAATTATCATACGACTAAACTAGCTTGGTTTGGTGTGCAGCTAGCTCGAGGCGCTAACCAATCACTTAAAAGTATGGTCTTTGAGTGTTGTGAAAGCCATTCACATAGAAACTGAAATAGCTAGGCAACTGCCAATCTCTCACTCAAGCCAAATGGTCAGTATACTATCATGTCCAGCTTCGTCTGCTGAGCTGCACTTTGCTGCACTTCCTGTCACGGGTACTTTTTACATTGTTACCCTTAGATTTACGGTTCTCTCTGCTGGAAAAGCTCTTGCAAAAAGAGCTACCTTTTACCTGGGGGCGGGGGATGCATGCTCAATTTTTCAGAGCTCTTGCACCTGGCAGAATTAGTTGCTGAAGAGGAGCTCTGGCGAAGTGAAGGCCACTCTTGGCACATTATGTTGCCATAGGATTGCGATGTTGTTGAGTTCAGGGTGTTTCCTGTTCATTTCTGTATCCTCTGTACTTTGGTCTATCACACTGGCAAGTTCAGAGTTATCTTTGATGATTTGAACTACAGAGTAGAAGTCTTTTAGTTGTTCAAATCCTAATTACAATTATATTTGTTAGTGATCAGACCTGATTTTTAACGTATGCTCTGCATGTTTGGTTTCATATTTTTCTCCCGTTTTTATACAATCTAAACCTGAATGTGAAGTATTTGTAATGTTTTGAACAAAATTGAACTCCAAGTCAGAAAAACACCCTCCTTTTGCATAGAATCGAACACTTTGGCATATTGCCGTGTTAGTGAGGGAAGAAAAAGGTTCAGACACAGCAAAGGAAGCCAATGCGTGCTGCAGAAAGGATGACTGGGCCTGAAAAGGCAAGGTGCTGGTATTGATATAAATGAGGCTTTTTCACACTAGGTGCCACAGCGGCCTTCGAGCAGACCTGGACCTCCACAGTCTGCATCCGCTCATGAGCTGGGGCTTTCGGCTGAGCTTAGCTTTGAAGGCAGGTGTTTTTATGTGATTAAATTATTTCATCTACTTTAAAATCAATCTTCAATTTTCTTGAGATTCCAGGCATATTTCCCCGTTGTATTCTAAGTAAAATATGAGAAAACCGAGTCTCTTCACTTATCTTAGCCACTCTCAATCTTTTTGATTTTTAAACATTTCCCTAGAAATTACATAAAATGGGCTCAGTACAGTAGCCTAGTGGCTAAAGTCTTGCATGCATAAGGATCCTATATGGGCACTATATCACCACAGCTCCACTTCCCTTTCAGCTCCCTGTTTGGTCTGGGAAAGCAGTAGAGGGTGGGCCAAAGCCTTGGGACCCTGCACCCACGTGGGAGACCCGGAAGAAGCTCCTGGCTCCTGGCTTAAGATTGGCTCAGCTCCAGCTGCTGCAACCACTTGGGGAGTGAACCAGTGGATGGAAGATCTTTCTCTCTGTCTCTTCTTCTCTCTGTAGATCTGTATGTGAAAGAATATGCGCAATTTCCAATTTTTTTGCGCAGAAATATGCATATCTTTTAAATCAGTGTTTTTATAAATGTTTGGAAGTAGCCTCATAAAAACTTGTTTTCTTTGCCTGAAGCAAACAATGTAAAATCCAGCAAGCATTATTGGCCAGTGTGTGAGTGATGCAACCACAGCTCTTTCAGCACTTCGCAGAATCATGTCCCAGAATTGCCAATTTCAAAACTTATATTGCTTGCAAAACGTGTTTTCTTAGAACCCAACTCAACGGATTTGTTTAAAGTATTCTACGTGTATAAATACACCAACATTTATTTTATTTGCAAGCATGACTCACTGTCAGCACCAGCCGGAGCTGTGAACACTCACCTGTAACAGCTACACGCCACACTGGGCCATTCGGTGGTGTGTGCTTCTCCAGTCCCAGTCTGAAGAGACACTGGCCAGCCCTGATTTCCACTCCGCGTGCTCTCATGTCCTGCTCTTTCAACAGCATGCCATTGGAGTCCTTCAAATCAAAAACAGCTCTACATTTATTATTCCCACAGAATTGGGATTTCCCCCCCCCATTTTATTAATTTGTCTACATATTTTCTAGAACATAGAAAAACACACAATGAAGCTTTCCCCAAGATTTACGCTGCAGAGCTAACTGTATTTGGTGCTTAGATGCAACTTAAGTACAAGGTTTTAATTCTATGCAATGAATTCTTGCTAGAATGGTTAATTCATCTAACTGGCTTTACATAAGCTTGAGTCAGTTTCCTAATTTTTTTGAGATTCCATATGCTCATCTTTAAAATTCAGTTTTCATTAGGGCCCAGCACAATGGCTCAGTCCTCTCTTTATGAGTACAGGATCCCATTTGGGTGCCAGTTCGTGTCCCAGCTGCTCCCCTTCCCATCCAACTCCCTGCTCGTGGTGTGGAAATGCAGTAGAGTATGGCCCAAAGATTTGGAACCCTGCACTTGTGTGGGAGACTCAGAGGAAGCTCTTGGCTCCTGGCTTCAGATTGGCTCAGCTTTGGCCATTGCAAACATTCAGGGAGTGAACCAGCAGACGGAAGATCTTTCTCTGTCTCTCCTTCTCTCTCTAAATATGATCTGCCTTTCCAATAAAACTAAATAATTCTTTAGAAAAAAATTGCATTAGTTTTAAGAGAAGCTCAAAGCTCTTCCACCAATTTATTTATACTCCTCATGTGTCTTTTATTTCTTTCTGATAAAGTTTATTCATGAGTAGATTAAAAAGGTATTTATTTTTATTGGAAATAAAAGGAAAGTGAGAAAAAAAAGAATCCTCCATCTCTTGGTTCACTCCCCAAGTGGCCACAGCAGCTAAAGCCGAGCTGATCTGATGCCAGGAGCCAGAAGGTTCTTCTGGGTCTCCCACATGGGTGCAGCATCCCAAGGCTTTGGGCCATCCTCTACTGCTTTCCCAGGCCACAAGCAGGGAGCTGGATGGGAAGTGGAGCAGGTAGGACACTTAGCTGATACCCATATGGGATCCTGAAGCTTTCAAGGTAGCAGATTAGCCATCTAAGACATTGCACCAGGTCCACTCATAAATGTTTATTCTTTTTTATGCTATTGTAAATGAGACTTTTTAAATTTCCTTTGTGGGTTGCTTGTTGTTGGTGCATAATTTGTATTTCAGTCTTCTGGCCTTGATTTGACTCCATCCCAGCTGTTACAGGCATTTATGGCATGAACCCATACATGGGAAGCAACATTGTTGTCTTTCTCTCGATCTCTACCCTTCAAATAACAACTAACTTTTGTATGTGGATTTTGTGTCTTATAACTTTAGTGAATTGGCTCACTGTTTGTGATGGAGAACTGCCCATGTGTTGCCATGAGAACCCATAGTGGGTGCTAGCTCCCTTTAGCCTTCTGGTCAACTCCAGTCAAATACACCTGGGATACTGAGGCTGGGGCTGGCAGCAAACCCCAGCACACTCGCCAAGTTCATGTCCAACTTCCTTTTGTGCTTATTTTAGACCACCTTGCGCTGAATGTTATTGGAAATTATGTAATAATGATTTTTTTTAAAATGAAAATCTCTACCACCTGGGAAAAGTTCTTAACCAAAACACAGTGCAGGTATGAATATTCTGCAAATTTCTGTGAATACGCTCAGGCTGGGCGGGATGGGAGGCAGTGGGCTCTTCCTGACTGAAGCAGAAGTGGGGCTGGCAGTTCTTGAGCTTTAGGGTCAGTGAGTAATACACATGTCTGTCTGTGTCTGGGATCAGCACGCATCTCTCCTGTCCGAAGGTGCCGTCAGCTCATTCTGGGTTTGCCATGATCACTTGCTTTTAGCAAGAGAAGACTTGGACAGGGTGGGGAAAGCTATATTAGAAAAATATTTCAGGAAAGAGCTGTGTTAGTTATGCCCAAGTTGAATGTTTAAGTTGCTATAAAACCTTTACCATCCCCGCAGAGGCATGCAAACTTCCTGGCGGGCAATCTCAGTTTCTCATCTATTACTACAACCGACGGCATAGGAACAACCACACAGTCACACCATCCATCCCACATCCCGCGTCCAGCGGACTCCTCAGCTCTCCACTGTTGACACCTGCCCAGAATCCGCAGGTCACACATCCCACAGACCTTGTGTTTCCAGAGAGGAGGCACCACAGGACTGTGTGCTTTGCAGCTGAAACCGCAGCAGCAGGCAGGGAGATCAACAGCATGAAATCAGCCCATAGTTACTAAGGGCTTGATGCTGAGGCGGACGTGTCATACACAGAGCCTGACGCAATCATCTCAAGAACTTTACAAACCAGTGATCGAGATCTGGTTTTACTGATGAGAAACATGTCTCGAGAGACCAAGCAGGTCCCTGAAGATAACACGCCAACTGGGAGTGTTGGAGCCAATTTCTGAATATGATCTGTTGTCTATAAGATGCATTTACTGCCCATATTCAAAGACCGGACTGACGCATTCCCCAACTTCAAAGCGCTCACTCTAGAGGAACGGCGATCATGCTAAGTATTCCGGCACGGCTGCCAACTTTGGGGAATGAAAGGCAACCTCTGCTTTGTTTCTCAGAGGATTTTAAAGTAGTACTTATCAGGAACTTCTTGCATAATAAAAATTTCCCCTCTGTTTCGGATCAGTGGGTGGCTACTGCCTTTATAATTTTGCTATGCAAATTTCATGAAGATACCCACCTGTATGAACATTGGCTGATTCCTTATTTCTCACTAACATTTACTGACTTTTCTTTAAAAAAAAAATCAATGTTTTTAGAAAAACTTGACTGAGCCAATTTAAACTAACAAGGCTAGACTTTAAAAAAATGCCTGGTTATACTACAGAACACATGCTTATAATTATTTAACGATTACTCAACAATTATTTAATGATGACTTTGTGTAGTAGATGTTAAAGGTAGTTTTTAAAAAACTTCATTCATTCATTTTTTTTTAAGGGAAAGAAAAAGAGGGAGAAGAAGAAAAAGAGAAGATTCAGGAGAGACCAGTGCTGTAGCCTAGTGGCTAAAGTCCTTGCTTTGCATGCTGGGATCCCATATGAGCACCGGTTCATGTCCCAGCTGCTCCACTTTCCCCCTCAGCTTCCTGCTTATGGCCTGGGAAAGCAGAAGAGGGTGTCCCAGAGCCTTGGGACCCTGCACCCACACGGGAGACCCTATGGAGGCTCCTGGGCTTCTGACAGAAGATCTTTCCCTCTCCTTCTCTCTGTAAATCTGCCCTTCCAATAAATTTTTTTTTTTTTTAAATTCAAGGATCCAGATGGTTTACTCCACAAACGGCCATAGCAGCGAGATAGTCGGGCAGGTGAAGAGCTTTATGAAGCTAGATTAGAGCGCAGAACTAACCCAGTTTCTTGGGGAGATTCAAAGTGCCATTCACCAGGAAGCCACCTGGTGAGGAGGTAACCCTCAACATTTGCTCGGGCAGAGAAGACAGATGGAAGATCGGGGAGGAGGGAGCCAAACTGGCGAGCAGAATTCAGAGGCCATTCTGGGATGATGAGTGGGGATGTTGAAAAAGATGTATCTTTCGGGGCCCAGTGCGGTGGCGCAGTGGTTAAGGTCCTCGCCTTGCACGCCCGGGATCCCATATGGGCGCCGGTTCTAATCCCAGCAGCCCCACCCTGCACCCGCGTGGGAGACCCAGAAGAGGCTCCTGGCTTCGGATCGGCATGGTATCGGACGAAAGATCTTCCTCTCTGTCTCTCCTCTCTGTATATCCGCCTTTCCAATAAATAAATAATAAAAATAAATCTTTAAAAAAAAAGATGTATCTTTCAAAGTATCTGCTCCACTTTTAGTTGATGTGATTGCCGAGGGGGGTCACAGGCACACGTGGGTGCAGAGACTCGGGAGGGAAGAGGCAAGGGACAAAGGTTTCTGCCTTCTGTTCTGTGTTTGTGGGAAGGGGGAGTTCTGCCCGCTGCACAGCCCAGCTTCATACGATCTCGGAAGGGGAGGGGTTTCATGATACTGCACCCGAGCCTGTGCGAGGGGAAGGACATCCTGGGGGCGTCCGTGATTGACACACAGTAGGGTGGGACTTAAAAAGAATATTCTTCCCTCAGATTTGTGACTCTTAAAGACTTACTTATTTATTTTATTGGAAAAGTAGATTTATGGAGAAAAGGAGAGAAAAAGAGAAAGATCTTCCATCTTTTGGTTCACTCCCCAAGTGATCACAATGGTCAGAGTTGAGCCAATCTGAAGCCAGGAGCCAGGAGCTTCTTCCAGGTCTCCTACACAGGTGCAGGGTCCCAAGGCTTTGGGCCATCCTTGCCTGCTTTTCCAGGTCACATGCAGGGAGCTGGATGGGAAGTGGAACAGCTGGGATATGAACCAGCACGTGCACAGGATCCTGGCGCATGCAAGGCGAGGATTTCAGTCACTAGGCTGTTGTGCTGGGCTCTTTTCTGCAGTCTTGTTGCAGATAAGTTCATAACTTTGCTGGCTAAAATGAAAGAGGGTATTCCTGGGAATGAAAGCCCAGCATCTAAAATAGAAAGCAAATGCTGAAATTAAAAAAAGCAACTCAAATGAAAATGTAAGAGGCTGCCATAACTAATTGGAGGTGGCTAGTAAGGAAAAGACTCTGAAATGGTGTTTGAGCTCTAGAAACTGGTGAAGAGAGGCATCGTTAAGAGAGAAGATACTGACCTGAGGATACCGGTGTACTTCTTGTTGGGAAAGCACAGCAGGAATCTATGGCTTTACAGCAAAAACATGAGGGGGCCAGTATGAGGCTGGATGGTGGTGATTAAAATGTTGTGAGAGGAACAGACTTCAACCAAAAGAAGGAAGACAGCTTGCGTCACAATCATGCAGTGGGATGGGAGGAGCACAGGGAGACCTGGAAGGCAAGACAACAGGGAGTAATGTGAAGGCCTTACAAAAGCCCGAAGAAAAAGGCAATGCCACAAAGCGAGTGATCATGTTGTGGGCATTTAGACTAAGCAGTTAGCATGCCAGGTAAGAAAGCTGATCCAGTGTGAGGATTTAGCCACTTGGTTATCATGCTGGACCCCTGTAAAACATTTTTGACAGTAATATTCGGAAGCCCAGTTTGGTTCTTATTGAGTAAAAGTTAGTAAAGAATTTGCCTTCTCTTGAGAAAACGACAGAACAATTGTCCTAAATCTCCCCAAATTCCATCCTCTACATTTGATTGCAAATGATCTCTTCAGAGATGTTCAAAATGATCAAATCTGTGGGATATCAATTATTATTAATCACCAGAAGGGGTTCTTTTCGTTGTTGAGTTTAGCTGTTGACTTGCTATTTCGCTGTGGCTGCCACCTTTTGCCAGCACTCGGCTTGCCTGTGTGTTGTCGGCCTTGACTGATGGGGTGCTGCTATCTGCCACTTTAGACTCTGTGGAGCAGATTTACACTCTGTCCTGTTGCCAGCGGGGCAGTTCCAGCGTCTTGGTTCCAGCCCCTTCCAGCCTCCTCAGATCCTTTCCCTAACTCTTGTCAGAATCAGAGAAGAAAGACTTTCAGACCAACCGGCCATGTGGAAAGCAGGCCTTGGTGTACAAGCAATTTGGAAAACAAAGATAAATGTAATTGTTTCCTATCTCCTTTGATAAATATAAGACATTTATATCAGCTCAGGATTCACTGGAAGAAGCCACTGAACTGGTATCTGTGTTCTAGAAAATGAAAGTATAATGTCACCTTTTTAAAATGAATTCCTTGTTCTGAACAAGTCTTATTCATCAGAGTCACTCGAGTCGTTGTTTGTATAGATTCGAGTTCATGACCTAGCTCACCTGTAGCCCAATGGGATTGGAACCCTGGGCTTAGGAGACAGCAGTCAATTCAGGAATCACAGGAGCTTGCAAAGCTCGCATCCCGAGCTCCGACCCACCCCACCCATCTTTACCTGCTGTGGCTTGTCTTTGTGCTTGTTGGTTGGGAATGAGCATTTGGATGGTGGAGCAATTTCAATACGTTCCAACTCAGTCCACGTTGATTCAGGAACTGAAGAGAGAGTACCATCGAGTGCTTAGCATTTTCTGGACAAAATAACATGTCCCATGGTCTGTGATGCAGAAGGTTTGCTCCAGGACATGAATACAATTGTTCTGAAGGAGGAATGTGCTACATACTGTTTTGGGGGCATTTCCATCTCTTTATCTATCTTTCCACTACCCTCCCCTATACTGAAAGGCTAGATGGATAAAAATTACATTTCTTGGAGGGCTTGGAAGCTGAGGTTGCGGTGAGTCATGATATGTACTTGGAAGAGATTTGGAAAGTGGACAGTGATCACCAGCAGGTGACCCAGAGCCCTGGATGACAGGTTTTTTTCTTTTCTTTTTTTTTTTTTTTTGGTCTGGTGAGCATCTTCATGAGTGGGAGGCAGCCCCACCTCCTGGCAGACATGGTGGCAGGAAATGATATTGCTAGCATCTGCCGAGTTCCAGGCACAGCCTCCAATGTGTCTCCCGGCAGACCTGGTAACCAAAGACTTGCGGTGATCCCTCAACCAAGGCTTTTCCAGTCCTCTGTGCTTGGGTACTCTGTCTTCTGCACGGAATCCCTTTCTACTGGAAATACCTAGAGTGTTTTCTATTTCCTGCATTAAAGTGTAGGCAGCCACAGAAGTGCTCTTGGTCCCACGCATCTGCCCCCGGAAAGGCCGCCTCTATGGGATGGAATGTCTGCTCTAGGGCTCACATACAAGACCATTAGTTCTCAGGGCAAAATGTCAATTCTGCCACTTTAAGTCTTTGTTAAGAAGATAAAACCTTGAATGCATGTTCTTGAGCACCTATAAAAAACCAGTTTATGGGCTGTGGCGCCTCCTGGGCACAGGCGTGTCCCAGCAGCCTTCTAATTTCTTCCAGTTCTGACTCGTCCCTCTTTGGATCTCTGTCTGCTGGCTTGCCTGGGACCTGCTGCTAAGCTCACCTGTGCCTCCAGCTTTAGCACCATCAGCCTCCTCCTGGTATGACTTCTGTTTGCATCTCCACAGGTTTGAAAGCTTTCCTCAGAAGCTGCAGGAGACCTTCTCGGAAGAGGCCAATCAGGGCTATGCCAGGAAGGCCCATGCCAGGTAGACCTGGTGAAGAGCTGGGAAAGGACCTGCCACTATCCATGCTCACCCTCGGCCACACTCTGCAGACTGCACCCCCTCAGAATGAGAGCCTGCCGCAACTGCTGAGTGCCTGTTGAAGCCTGAGCTTGCTAGCAAGGCCAACAGCCTCTGTGTGGATAACAAGTGCACAAGCAGGTGCAACACCTTCCCCAGAGCCCAGCACCTGGTGGGCTACCCCTGAGCAGCTGCCGCTCACTGGCCCTTGTATCTCACTTTGTGCTGGAGTTTCATGCAGCATAGAATGCAAAAAACAAACAAACAAACAAAAAAAACAAGGCGCAAAGGAAACCAAGATTTTATTTTCTCCCTCTCTTTTATGGAATAAAAATCAAACAGTCAAAAGAAATGGCTCACATTTTTATAGTATCAGAAATATTGAGTGCTCCCTTCCTCTGCATCCAAGTCATTCCTGTTGCTACCGTGTCCTCTCACTGGGAGTGACTGAAAGTTACTCAAGGCTCTTTCAAAGGATTCTGAGATAAGAATCTAAGTGGCCAATTTCTATCAGCATTTATTGCCAGAAAAGCATTTGTTTCTCTCACTAATTCTGCTTGTGTAATATATTTTTCCTTCCTTTTTTTTTTTTTTTTGCTCTGATTTTCCCAAGCTCTAAGCTAGATTAGGAATTCTTTTTAATATCTTCCTGGAAAAAAAACATGTTTTGGTCCTTTTCTCTTGGTCTCTCATCCTTTCTGTTATAAGTAGCATGGTTATTGGGAAATGTATAGAGTTTATTTTAAAATCAGGGGTGTCTGCTTCATGTGCAAATGAAGGTAGAGCCATCTGCTCTCTTGTTTGAGATTTGAAAGGCAAAGAGTAAGAGACAGATAGAAGCGGAGGGTGGCCCCACCTGCTGATCTAGTCCCCAGATGCCCACGGCAGCAGGGGCCAGAGTGGGAACTCAATGGCAGAGACTCAGTTAATCGAGTTACCACTCCTGCCTCTCCAGGTGCACCTTAGCAGGGAGCTGGGCTCAGGAGTCGAGCCAGGACTAACACCCAAGGGTCTTTCGCAAGGTCTTCACTGGCCAGCCGGCCAAATGCCCAGCTCACCTCCTGCCTTGCTGCTGTGACGCCATCATCCACCTCAGCACCCTTCTCCAGGAACAGTCCAACAGCCTTGGTCTTGACGTTTTTTTTTTTAAAACTTCTTGGGCAGTGTGTCACGCACGTGAAATGAGAATCCCAGAGAAACACTATTTCAAAGCAGTTTTCTCCATGTTTGACCAGAGCCCAAAGCTCATTCCTAAAAACAAGCAAGCCAAAACTCAGCCAAAAGGCAGATTGCAAAAAAAAAAACAAAAACAAAAAAAAACAGCAAAGAGTTAACTTGAAAGGGAGAGTAAAAGACAGAACACAGAAATCCGTTCTGCTTTCTTCTCTCTAATATTCTCCTCACACAATCTCCTGTGAGTCTCTCGGAGCTTCCTGAGAGATGTTATTTTCCTTTGCAAGACCAATTTGAGCAGTGACGGCCTAAAAGGTTCCGGTGCCCCAAGTGAGAGGAGATTATAGGACTCCATGTGGGGTCAAAGACAGCAGGGTTCTTAAGGATTTTTACCAACAAAATAAGAACGGTGGGGTTTCACTTCACTTCAAAGTAAAGATACCAATACAAGCAAATTCCCTTCTTGTCATATTGATAAAGAAGCCAAAGCATCCTTTCTGGCATGTTAGTAGGAGCGCTGATGGCCCAAGTGCAGAATTGAACTATAAATGGGGGGTGTTTTGTGAAGTCTTGCAGCACACACACACACACACACACACACACACACACCCTGCAGAATGTGCATTGTGTGTGTGGGCATACATGAACAAATACAAGTACACAGAGACACACAGAGATATTTGAAGTTGAGAGGAGGGTTTCCCTTTGTTAGTCATACATGTCTTACCCCTTCAGAACTCCAGGTGATGTAAATTAAGCACCCAGGAAATATGCCACATGGATCACACGTTTCTCACCCATGGAGATACAAGGAATTGAAGGATCCTAGCAGGGACTGCGGGGGGGCAATGATATACATGCCACTTCCTCTCCTTCCCTCCCTTTTTCCCTGGGTGTCACAGTGCCCTGTGGCCTGCAGGCCAGCAAGCATAGGGGACCCTTAGCTGCCTCGTGACCTTGTCTTAGTGCCTTCTGTCTGAAGACATGCAGCTCCTTCCCGCCGCTGAGTGTTGGTGACGTCACACATTGGACAATAGCAGTCTTGAAGGAGAGAGTGGATAGTTAGTACTTTGCAGGATGTTGGAGAAAGGACATGGGATATTTGTTTTCACTTTCTTTTCTGGCTTCCTGGAGGCTTGTCACCTTCTCTGAGTGGTGTGCTTCTCGGTCTGATGACAGAACGAATGAACAGGAACTCTGAGAAGGCTGGCAGCTGACTGGGGCACCAGGGCTTTTCCTGGCTGGGCTTTTGCTGGCACAGTGTTACCTTCTCATTGCAAGTGGGCTGACCTTGGCTATGGTTCTGGACACGTCACATCTCTATCCTCCTGGGACAAGAAGGGACAGAAGAGGCTGGGGAAGACACCGCCTGGTGTCTGCATACACACCTGTGTGCTGACACTTCCTGCTGCTCTGCTTCTGCTCCAACTGCCTGCTAAGGTGCCTGGGCAACACAGGACACTGGCCTGAGAACTTGGGCTCATGCCACTCATGGGAGAGACCCAGATGAAAGTCATGACTCATGGACTCAGTCTGGCTGTGCTCCAGCTGTTGCTGCCATTTGGGGAATGAACTGGCAGATGTAACATCAGTCTCTCTCTCTCTTTGCCTGTCTCTGATATTCTGCCTTTCTAATAAACACATCTTTTAAAAAGGAATAGCAGTGACACGAATGGGAGCTATCCTCCATGGCTGGGAAGATTGTACAGCACAGTGCTGTACAAGGTCCACATGTCCCAAGAGCTCCTCAAGTGTGAGCTCCTGAGGCGGCTTAGGAACTGCTCCTCCTACTCCCTTTCAATTCTTTCCTCCCTGACCCTCTCTGTCTGTGCTGGGCACTTATCACTTGTGACTCTCTGCTGGGTTTTAGTCTGTTGGTGTTGCCATAGCAAAGACTGGAAACCCGGACATGAGTAAAGAACACTGGTTTTATTCTGCTCTGCTGTAAAGGTGCGAGTGTTTGGGCAGGGTGTCTCCTGCTGAGATGGCACCCAGTGGCTGCTCTCCTTGCCAGGAGAAGGGGGCAAGAGGATGATCTCTGCGCCTCCACATGGCACCAAGTGTGCAGGGTTGAAACGGTGCATGCTAAGCCCCTCCAGCCCTTTCTGGGAAGCCCACCATTTCCCCAAAGCCAGTTCCTCATGCCACCACAGTGGGGATGTGCATCTCAACATGCCAGGTTGGGGGGCCATTCAGAATTTAGCATCTCCCTGAATGTTCCATCTGCTCTTCCGGAAGAAGCTAGTTTAAAGTGATGATGAAGTTATCATCTTCTTACTGAGCAGAGTCCTGTCAGGGCATCTGAACACCTAAGGGTCCCCACAAATGGGGAAAACAATAGCAAAACCCTTTTGGTATAAGCTCTTCTATTTCAGGGCTGTTAAGGTGGGCCAATTATGATAAAACTTCTATAGGCTTCTATATTAATTACGGTAGTTTTGCATATTAAAGATTGAGATCAAGATTGCAGTTTTCATAACCTAACTTTAATTTTTAAAGCTCAGTGAGGAAGTCTCATACCTCAGTCTCCTATTAGTGACAACCTGAAAGCTTCCGGCTGTTGCTAAGGTACAAAACCCCCTGCAGGAACTCTGGCTCTTGTCGACTGCAGCACAGAATCTGAAACTAGCTCTCATTCAACACTGGAAGGAAAATATTGCTAGGTCTGCTCTTTCATCGTGTGCCTTTCTAATTAGCTG